TCCCCCGTTTCTGTCCGTTCCTGTAGATCCTCCCTCGTTTCTGTCCGTTCCTGTAAATCGTCGCCCGTTCCTGCCCGATCCATATCAGTACAATACTCTTATTTCGTTGCAATCTTTTTATCAAATATATCTTATACCCGATAAAAAATATATGATATTATAAATGTAGGTATCATAAGTAATATCGTCATAAATGTATATATATAATTTAGTCCGATTCTGCCCCGATCATGTAATTGCAATCCTTTTATCAAATAGATCTTATACTCGATAATGATACTTAAATGTATCTAATATATATATTCATTAATGTATATAATTATTAATAGATTGCTGCCCGTTTCTGCCCTTTCCTGTAAATCGTCGAACCCCTAATACACTCATGTGCCACGCCGCTATCGTTGAAATTCAATTCTTCATAACTTGGTCAATTTTTCAAAAATCAAATTGAAATTCGGTACAGAGGTGTATTATTGTCATATTAACAACATATCTTCTGATGTCGCTTACTTTATTCAGTATTTTTGAAGATTCTGTCTGGCGATGCTTGTTGTCGGTCGAGGACGCTTTTAAGTGAGACCCCATATTTTTGTTATTTTATCTAAATTAAATATAAATCTACAACATGTTTACAAAGCTATATTTTTTGGAAAAATTGTAAATTTAAAGTGTTTTACTAGATCGTCAAACATAAAGTGACATCAGTTACTCGAAGAATGAAAAACAACACTGAATCATTACCAGACGTGTTTAGGTAGCTCAATATTGTGAAGTCGGGTGATGAGCGACAGTATGCTCAGAAGTAACAACACGGCCCAGTAGGTTCTGTTGGAATGGTTCGTTGCCTCAATTTGGCCTTCAATATTCTTGGTTTTAAATCCGTCCGCCTCATATTTACAGTTCGTTTCCTTGGGAAAAGCTGGCTTTTTAAATTCAACATCAGTGTCATTATACTTCTCGACGAATTTGGCGTCTTTTTCTTCCTTGAACAAACTTGACTGGCTAAACTCATTGCCCGATTTCAAGTCATTCGCACCTTCGTAACCTTTACCATTTTTGTGATTTTTTTCATCCATTTTTATGGCACCAATGCTGGTTTTCAATTAGACGACGAAGCTCAATCCACAGGTAAAAGATGCTGACAAAATCGATAAATCAAACAGGTGAATTGATGCATAACTTCACGTTTCAACCAGCGTCATTCGTATCTCCCAAGTAGGAGAATTACCGGAAGTGGGTAATACTAATTGGGTAAGGGTAAAATCCGGAATGCACTTAGATGTGAAGCGAACGATTTTGTTGTTTTTATAAGTTCATATCTCTCTTATACCAAATTAGTTTCGTTCGGAGACCAGGGTAGGAAAGATAAGTGTATACGATTTACACCGGTTTAAATTGATCGAAGCAGTATGTTTAATTAAAAGTGAAGGTCGAAATGAACACGCTTTCATTTTTTTGCAAAAGAGATGGCAAGAATGAATCGATGTCGAGTGAAAAACGTTAAAAAGTTGAAATTTCATCGTAATTATAGTTGTCTTTCTGGGTCCATAACTCATTGAATACTGACCCTTTCCAATTAAAGACTTCATTGTAAACCTCTCGTATGACACGGTCCCAAAAACTGGAGCTTTGTCTTACTGTACATTATGTGATGTAATTGACTAATGGTTTTACAAGATACAAAATTATTTATCAGAAACATTCAAAGTGAAGAAGAAGAAAAAGAAGAAGAAGAAGAAGAAGAAGAAGAAGAAGAAGAAGAAGAAGAAGAAGAAGAAGAAGAAGAAGAAGAAGAAGAAGAAGAAAGAAGAAGAAGAAAGAAGAAGAAGAAGAAAGAAAGAAGAAGAACGATACAAAAGAATGTAAACTGTAGTCACATAATTATGATTTCAGTATGTGTTCACATAACAATATATGGGGCAAAGAAGTAATTCCAACAGTGTGGACAAGTTTAGGTTGTCAAATTTTCGGAGCGATCCGCTCCTTTATCAAGACACAGTGAAACAGAACAGTTACATGTACATATACATCATACCTCCATTAGGATCCAGTGTTATATGGGATTTTACCGTTTATAGTACTTCTTTGTAGAGTGTAAAACCGGACAGTTAAGTATTGGTTTGGCCGATTCCTACATATATCTAGCCCTATGTCATAACAAACAAATAAGGTTATTTAGAATTTACTATAATAACGCAATGAAACTTAATTAGTTAGGAAAAGAACGGCCTGTTTAACACGGATCACTTTGATTGGTTAATGAATTAGGCCGGGCCTTTGCTTCTTAATTGTTGTGTACATGGAGGCATCCTTCCCAATGGGACAAAGAGATAGGGTCCGATAAGGGTAAAACAAAGATAGATAATTAAAAACTACTCATTTAGCAGTGATAAAAGGATTCGAACCAAATTTGGGGCAAAGGTACCCGTAAAGGTTCTAGTGCCCTGCTCCACTTGCCGTTTCAATGGGCAGGGCAGCAAAACACCATGATCGCCCGTCATGAGGACAAAGAAAAATGAGAAATGTTTTTCTTCCCCTAAACCATCTCTGTTCGGGCAATCGGGGACCGTCGGTTACGGTTCCCAATTGTCCTTTCAGATAGGGCACCAGGACTGATATTAATACTGGTCAGACCGCTTCTGCACCAGCCGGGGATATATAACTGAAATTGTCTCGTACGTTGAAGCTACGTCATCACAGCTAATATGTATCCACGAAGACCGACATAGAAAGACTGCCGGTATAAAGACAAGGTTTTACCATTCACGGCTTCCTGACGTCTCCGTGTGTAGTCTGGAATAATGTATACGAATCATTCGTAATTTGAGGTACCGTCTCTAGGATTTGAAATCGGGGGTCAGCCTCCTAAAGCCATAACAGAGGGGGAGACTGAACGTAAGATCAGTGATAATCACCCGTCCACTGTCATCCTCCACTCTAAGTATCGGGGATAACAAAAGAATTGTAGGAAATGTTAACCCGTATAAGTTAACGTCAAAACTGCATGTCTTCTCCCATTTTGTACCTTTGGCCCTAACTTAATTGTAGCTAATGACCCTAACTTAATTGTAGCTAATGACCATAACTTAATTGTATATATGGCCATATCATAGCTTGTATATCTATGGCCATAACTTAACTGTAACCATGACTAATTGTATCTATGGCCATATCATAGCTTGTATATCTATGGCCATATCATAACTGTAACTATGGCCATACCATTTTTTTTGCAACGTTTGAGATCCTGGCCAAATAATGCTTTTCCAATTGCTTGGCATGAAGAGAACACAACAATGCTACAATTCATGAGTAGCACATGACCTTGCCCTACCCCTTTGCCTTATGGCCATTTACATATTTATACAGATCTCAGCAAAATCGCGCTATGTCATCAGAACTGATAGGTTTAAAAGCAATTTCTGAATGTGAATATATAAACGTTTGCGACATGACATAACCAAAAGAATTAATTTGAATAAAAATATTTTAATACCTTATCTTTAGAATGAAACGTGTTTTCAAGACTAATATCACGCATGTGTTAGGTTATTTACTGCTAATCATGAAAGAAATTTACAATGTGATTATGACGTCATATTGATTTTACCTATGTCAAAAAGTATCGTCTGTTGCGTTACAATATGGATATTTCTGTAAGGGTCCACCCTTTTTAGGTTTGAGTTACGTACATGCATATGTACTAGCCTCGTCTTGATATAGGTTTTGGGGTTTTCATTAACTTAATTCAGTCTTAAAGGTAAACGAATGGTCATAAAAATGGATACCTATTTGTATAAGTTTGTATAGAACTTTTTTTCTAAAAATAAAATAAAAAATGACACCAGTTTTAAAAGTTCTAAACATGTGTATGGTAAGCTCTCTGCGCAATGTGTCATTGTATATCCATTTTTAATGGTAGCAAGTTTGATTTTGTGTATGTGCAAGTTCCAGATATTCAATGTAATGAAAAAATATGCAACAACACAGTAAAATTGTAGGTTAGTCGTTTGTTACTTATTTAGGACAACTTGAGTACTTGATCCTGCAAAAGGTGAAAATAAACGCAATCAATCGCTTTAAATGAAAATGTAGAAATGCATAGAAATATGCATATATATTTATATTAAAACCCCAGTGACGTTTAAATTGGCACTATATTTACGTGGTGGATGTCGTCGATGAAGCTGAAGATGTTTGTGTTAACCCTTCCGGAATACCTGGTCCTTGTCAAGTGTTTCCTTCAAAATCGTCATGGTTCATATTTTGCCTAATATCGATTTTTAATTTGAATAACAATTTTGTTGACATTTTTTCTTTCTTTTTCTTTTGTTGCATTTTTTTCTTTTTCTTTTGTTGCATTTTTTTCTTTTCAAATGTCATATAGGACACCCTTACTTTATTTAAATGGAATAAAAAACATTTAAAAATATCAAAAGTTGTGTTTTATGGATGATTCTTTTGTTCAATCATCCTGTTTTCACTTGGTAGTATCATGTTTGTGCGATGCCTCTGAAGGGAAAAGGGGAAAACGGGGCAAGTCCGTCCCTGGGGTAAATTCGGCCACCCCTAATATATTTTTGGTCTTGTGCAAATATTTGCAACTTTGAGGATCTTAGCAGTTCATTCGACTGGGCGGGAAATTCAAACCCACAAAAATAGGTGATACAAACTTAATTATTTAATTACCGAAAGGAATTATGAATACGAGATGGCGACCTGAATGGACGACCCGACCCGTAAGCTCTGAGGGCCTTAATTTGTTTGTGTATAGAATGGACGACCCGACCCGTAAGCTCTGAGGGCCTTAATTTGTTTTTGTATTATGTGAATGTAAATATAACGGAGGGTAACTGCTAACTATGAGCAATACACATTTTTGAGATCCATATTGGATTATACTGTGATAATGGAGGATATACATTTAATGTTACGACTCACTAAATCTCGCTGACCGCCATTTTTGCACGGATTTCCGTAAGATCCTTACCACGGAATTGCTTGTTCGACACTTGTGTAATATTGCTTATCAAATATTATGAATATTTCTGAATCAGATTCTGACAACTCAATAAAAGAAACTTGAAGGCTCTCCTGATGCCCCTGATCACCCTCGACACAGCAGAGGTCACGTCCGTGTGAACTCACTGCCTAACCCGACACCATTATCGGGCTCATCCCATCGAATCGACATCGGTAAAGATAAAGTCATTGATATGAACACGATTATCAGATCATCACTAGCAAATCCTGATCTTGCCAAGTCTATATATCGCCTGCGTGGGCAGAGGCTTTCGTACTCTGTATGTCGGACACGATCAAGGCCATTACCCAGAGTACTCCGACCTTCTCCAACCACTCCGCGAATCGCCCACCTTAAATCATGTGCCACACTTGATGCGGAACTGTTTCCCTTGATAATAAAGCTAGCTTTCTTGATGACAAAATGGAGGAGCTGGAACAATATGGTAGACGAAAATACACTCCGTTTTCATAATGTGACCCTAAACGCGGATGAGAAACGGTTTACTGGTCCAAAAATTATAGACATTTGTCGATCCAAGCTCAAATTGAACATTGTGAAAGACGATATATACAGGTCACATGTTATTGGACGAGAAACCCGTGATGGTAGATAGATACCAGGTAATCTGCAGATTCCAAAGCTGGAACGCCAAAAATGAAGTTTTCCGGAACAAGCGGAACCTCAAAAACGACCGGGAAAAATCTTTCTTACTGAAGACCTGACAAAGACCCGCCAGTATATAGTCAATTAAGCTACTAGGAAGGGCCAAATGGAGTAAAACCATAGATACCTACTGTAAATGGAGCTCCCATGTTAAGAACATATGCCAAAAAGCATCTAAGCAAATAAGCGTTCTTCGTGAATTGAAATATTTATTAAATAGAAAAACTTTAAACAAAATAATTTAGATTATACATCCTCCCTGTTTTAGAATACTGGTGTGGAGTGTGGGATGGATGTACTCTCGGTGATGCACACAAACTAGAACAACTTCAGCTAGAGGCTGCAAGGATAATGACTGGGTTACCTTCTTACGCAAGTAGATAATCTTTGTACATTGAAAGTGGTTTAGAAATTTTATCTGAGAGAAGATCAAGAAGGAAATTACAACTTTTTTTCTTACAAAACTCATAATAATCTCGCACCGAACTATCTCGTCTCCCTTCTGACCCCTTT